TGTTATTTCTTTATAGAAAATATAATACATATGATTGATTTCGAGGCGAGTTTCAGCTCAGTACATTATATTAAAATCATTACAATTTTAACGTTCTACACATATATATTTAAAAGATGATTATATAGAACATTTCTTAAATGTTTTATATAGTAATGTTAATATTCAATAAAATGCTGCAAGTAAGCATTTTTTTTTATAATATTAAAAAAATTGATTACGGTACCTAGGACAATATCTTTAAAAACACTAACGTGGTATATGATGGTAATTACTATACCGTGGTGGTATGGTACAGTAATTAATTATTTTAATTTCAATTTAATTCAAAACATAAAATTTTAGTATTAGAAAATAACATATTTGACCTTTTTTTTTGATAAAATCGATGTCAAGTTGAAAACTAATATAAGTTACTACATAAATAGTTTTGTTTTAAAATAAAGCAGTTTTGTTTCTTTAAATAACAATAGTTGGCACTAAGTTTTTTAACTCAACTAATTCATTGGTTTGTTGAATATGGACGTGTGCGAGTTAGGCTAAGTTGATGCTAAACCAAATGGGAGATTTTTTGGGATTTTTTGCACTGCACACATTTTGCCATTTATCAACACGTATCGACACATCACTACATTATCGGCACAACTTAGAATTTCCCTCATTTAGAACGCAACTTAGCCTAAGTCGTACACGACCTATATAACACAAATTTATTGCTGTACTCATTTTTGCATACTTTTATGATCATAATTATTTCGAATTTTTAATTTAAAGAATTATTAATAATTAGTGAAGTATACTTTCAGGCGCAACAAAAAATTTTTTATTTATTAAATTTGAGTTTTAAAATTATTTATGATAAAAACATTTATTTTTTTAAATCTTTTTTATACAAAGTTTTTTAAACAATAGTGAATTACAAAAAAATTTTTATTTATAAATCATTAACTAACCATTCAGATGTTTCTAGTACTTCCATATTATTTGTGTATACTTATATGTACAAAATATTGCCTCAATTTACCTGAAATGATGTGTCCATTTTATTTTTACTAAAAATACATAATAATAATATTTAAATGATCTTAAATTAATAAAAAACAAATGGTTTTTTTTTATAGTTTAATGTTTTTATTTTTTATTATTTTTTATTATTCTAAAACTGAAATCCTGTGTCCATTTTATTGTTAATAGAAAAACATACTAATAGTATTTAAATAATATTAAATTAATAAAAAAAAACAATTATTTTTTTATTGTATAATGTAAACGGTTTTAACCGCTAAATTTTTAAAAAAGGGTTATATAGAAGACAGGATTGGATCACAATATAAAATATTGCAAATAATAAGTTGCTTATAATACCATATAATACCGACATTAAGAAGTGAAGGCCATGTCGAAAACTGCTTGGAACAAGGGAATGAAGTTATGTTTTCTGAAAACTACAGCACCCAGATACTTTAATATGAATGTTTTGTAGTGATAATTAGAGTGCTTGCTTGAATTTTAGAATAATTAAATTTGATTTGGAGAGTACTGAGCAAAGTTATTGATATGGATTTTAATCTCCCTAGATATAACGAATATATTAAACGATTTAAATTAACTAAAAGGTAGCCATAATCAAACCTGTTTATACTGGAATCGAAAATATTTGATAACAGAAACATCACAGTTAATTTTGGAAACTGTGATATGGATGTTTTGACACAATTTAAAATGTATAAAAACTTAAGTTTAAATAGTCATAAAGTGGTATATCTGTAAAGTATTAAATGGATATGGAATTAATATACCTTAAGTTCGACTTTTACATCTTTACGTTTCTGATCAATGTACTGAAAAAACAAATTTTATTTGCATTTCTGGCGAATACATCGAAAAAATGACTTAAAATAAATAAGAAATGTAGCGATTTTATATATTTTTTCTAAATAAAATTTAGTGACATAAGTTTTATTTGTTTTTTTACTTATTTATTTGTTTCTTTTTATATATTATTTCTAACAATAAAATGTTATGTAGTATTAGAAATTTGTAGAACAATTTAAATTTTATATTCTATATACTAATAATATATGTATATCTATATATGTATATAAATGTATTTAATATATATAATGTGTATCAAAGAAAACATTCTGATATAAAACATTTGCAAACACACACATTTCAAATTAAAATACATGAGAACTATAATTAATGCACTTATAAATACAATTATAATTAATTTTTGATTTGTTATAATAAAAAAATATTTCCTTATTTCAATAGTTTTTATTTTTGTTATAAACGTTTCGACTTTTAGTCATTCAAACTTAATTTCAATTTTATCAAAATCTCAATGCACTCCATATGTTTAAAGTATTCAATGAAGTCTTTAAGCTTGCAATACCACTTCTCACACTTTATTCTACATCAGCTTAGAACTCGAATTAAAGAAAAAAAATTAAGTTTGAATGCTTGATTCTGTAATGAACTAGATAAAATATAATTAATAAATATTTGTTCGACTTATGACTTAATTAAATGCTTCATTAAAACTCGAAGTCCATTTATAATTAATGCGTTATTAGGCTTGTATTAAAAGTATCTAATCGATAAAAAATTTTGAATCAATTATCGTCTACATTACCGAGAAAACATTTAGCAAGAAACCAGTTAATAAACGGTTCATTCGTCACATTTTTGCCAGTTGCTCTTTAGCTCACTTGCCAAGATTTAACTTGTATCTGGTTTCTGTTGCGATACAATATCTTCACTACGAGTGAATCAGCGACGTGTAAAAATTCGTTTGATAAGCGATTGGCAGCTTTTTAACACAATTTGTGAAGAACCAGTTTCACAATTGGAGAAGAAAAATCGAATGAAATCAAAATTTGATCAATTTGTGATTATTTGTTGCTTCCTTGACAAGGTCAATTTGATCACTTAAGCGTCTCTCGTTTTTGTTTAAACAGAAATGGTCAAGGTTAAATTTTATTTTGATTTTTAACTTAAAACGTGTTTTAGAATCATTCTAACACATTTTAAAATTAATTCTGCGCTTTTACATAATTTAGGAAACACGCATTCCTATATTTATTAAAGACTATTAAATAAAAATTCAAATATAAAAAAAATTTATTTTCTTAACAAAAACAAACTAAAATGTATCTTGAAGGTTTTCATGAAAAGGATTCCAAAACAAAATTTTCAGTAATGAAAAGAAACTAGTGCGTTCGAACAGTAATAAAGAAGCAACAACAAACATTTGATTAATTTATTCAAATCTGTAATACAATTTATTCAAATTGAAGTGAATAATCAATTTAAGTGTAGGGATTTTTATTCAATCGAAAAATAAGTTCAACAGAAAATGTGGAAAATTGTTCTTAGAACATTTTCTTCTTTTCTTGATGAGATCGTATATATAATGATCTTTAGTACTTTTAAAAAACTTATTGAAGTCAATACCTGAGCACGCCAAGAGTTGAATAACAAATTTTAACGCTTATAAAAAGGTTCGGTGAATTTTTATTTAATTTATAATACATAGCCCTGTCATTTTTGTAATTTTTGTAAACTTTAACTGGGCCATAAGTTAGCTGCAGTTAAATTGATTTAGTCTAAAATCAATTTAAAATCAATTTACTTTACATTTCCTGATAGGACAGAAATCGAGTAGCAATATAACTAAAACTTAAACTAAATAATTGAAACTGAATTTATGTGCATATTATTCATAGAGGATTTTGAACTTGCTAAATACTTGCTAAATTTTATACATATCAGTTTTAATTTGTATATGTAGTAGAATTTCACAAATTAGAATTATCCAAATTCTTGTTGGAAAAATAGTTAGAAATTTCTTTTGTCTAAATGTGACAATAAGTCCACAAATTAAAATTTTATTTCTATTACAGAAGTGATCACCTTCTGAATAATATTCAACATTCAAAAATATTTGGACAAATTACTACAATGAATGCTAAACAATGTCTAGTCCAAGTAGTTAAACACAGAATGTGAATTATTCGTAGCTTTTAAACACGGATATGAATATGAACTCCGTAGCAATCGTAGACTATCAGATAATCATATCGAAACTGTTTTTGAAGTTAAACGAATAATATTCTATTTAGTTGCAATTAAAACTTATTTGTTTTATATAGTTCACACAGATATATCTCAAACCTCATGCGCAATCTTTAAGGTCTTTTTAAGGTTTTCGTAACAATGTTATAGAAACTAACTTAACCAATAGACAGCATTTTTGCCGAAAATTGATCCATTGTGCCACTGCTCACGCAATACATAGCTGAAGTGTCATTCCCTACTTTATAACACATGTCACACATGTTGATTGACTTCGATGAAGATCTAAGAAGTTTATTAAAAGAAAGCTACACAACCCGAATACTATAATGATAAAAGAGTACTATATAAAAGACGAACTGCATTAAATGGGATGAAATAAACATTGAGATTTAAATAAATACTCATTAATCACAAACTCTGCTTGTCTCTTCATCGCACTTGATATTTCTTTAATATTTCTCAATAATTTCTAATTTCCCTGTTACAAATATATAATTACTTGGTTTTAATGCTCCAATTAATAAAAAAACATGATTTGTTAGTAAATTTTTATTGATTTAGAAGTATTTCTTAATATCTACACTTTTACAAAATTACCTTACCTATAAAAATTTACAATTTATTTAATAAATTTATTTTTATATATAAAATGTATATACATATATTGCGTCTGGTTTATTTTTTTAAAAATTTTGATTTTGATTGCATATGAATTTTATTTAAATATAATTTTTTAAGGGATAGCGAAAATCAGTCTTTTTTACAATAACAAATTTAAAAAGTGAAAACGAAATAATTTTTATGTTTTAAAATCTTTTGTTTTTAAGTTCTTAAAATAACTTAATAATAATTTTCAAACCAACTCAATATGAGTCAAAATACCATTAAATTTCTTAAATTAAAAAATTCAACATTTTAATGTTAAATTAAGCCAACAAAAATTAACAAATTTCACGAATATCGAAAATAGGTAAAATTTTTGTCCTATAGACTTCTTGGCAGTAATGGCACAAGGAGATACTTAAATAGTTGTTAAATGGAAATACATTTAAAGGCAGTAAGTTTATGTAGTATTCATTAAAACTATACTCTGAATTAAAACTTCTCGTCATCAATGTTCGTGCGGTAATTATTTAATGCATGGGAGTTCCTTTTTAAAGTGCCCGTTTCGCAGTCGTTATAGGTTTTGGCAAGCACCTTTGGAGTGTGATTGTGGTTCATATTATTACGATTTAAGGTCCCAGTATTCAGGTGTTTAGATGGTGAACATGCTGTAAAACTACTCTGACGTTTAACCTTAGGACGTACATCGTACTGTAATTAAATGTTAAAGAAATTTTAAAAAATCAAGTTTAATATACTTATATGTATTATGGTACTCACGTCTTTTGTTGGCAGGCTAGAATATTGATTTGGATACGAATCGTAACTCGATGTTGGTGTATTGTTTTTTAGCACAGGAACTTGTGGCATAAAATGTCGTCTAGTAAACCAGAAAGTCATAAAAATGGTTAAAACATAGAGAAGGATGACAAGTGCTATAATAGTGGCCAGTGTAGTACTTGAAGCCATTTGAGTGCCTAATAATTAAAAAAAAAATTTTTAATTAGTGAAAAAAAAAATTTATCATTTATCATGTATATATTTAATTTTATAGTTTATTGATTTATACATTTATTTTATATTATTACCTTCACAAAATCCTGGCACACAGGCAGTTTTCTCAAATTCATTTCCTCGACATTCACCAGATTCTGGCGCTTCGACTATACATTTACGATGTCTGAAACGAATTCCTTCACTTGAACAATCTGACCATTCACTCCAATCACTCCAACCCAAATAATCTGTTAGAAAAGATTACTTATTGAATGAAATAAATTAAAAATTATATTGCAATCTACCTTCACATGGTCGCATTTCACATTTTTCTTCGTCTACCGCACGGCCATTACACAATTTCTCATGTCCACCTAAACATTTGCGTGTACGCCTTTTTATACCAACACCGCAAGAAACTGAACAAGGTGACCAATCTGTCCAACAACTCCACTCATGTGCCAAAATCACTTCGTTCAAATTGGCAGAAATTGGACATGCATTCGTGTTACATATACGACTCTGTGAATGTCTTCCACGATGTTGTTTACCTTCAACTAAGCGATGTTGTGTACCACCCCCGCAAGAAACGCTGCACGGTCCCCATTCGGGTACGTGATCTGGTACTTCTTCTTCATTTGCATGCCGCTGACAACTACCATCAGCACGACATACCCGTGACTCTTCCTTTGCTAAAGTTATGCGTAATGAGCTTGAATCCATAGTAATTGCTTTGCAAGCAAAACGAAAACGCCGCTCCACATGTGTACCATCTTTAGTTTCATTATTTTGCACCAACCAAGGTGTCCAAGAACTAAGTTTCTTCACTTCTGCACATTCATGTATATTACAGATTTCATAATCAGTATGACAACCAGCACATTCTTGCCCACCATTTTGTGGACTTGGATTATTGCATTCACGTCGTCGTATGCGAAATCCACCACCACATTGTGCTGTACAATCACTCCAATCACCCCAAGGACCCCAACCGCCATCGACTCCCTGTGGTTTAGCTATTGGACATGGTGGTAAATGTTGACAGTACATTTCGTTATGTTCTGGGCCACCGCAAGTGCGCCCACCATGTGCAGGTTTTGGATTTCCACAACTACGTCTTCGAGTTTTAATAGCAACGCCACATGTTTGAGAACATGACGACCAAGCAGACCATTCAGTCCAGCCGCCATGAACTGTGCAATTAGTTACTTCTGTATTTATGCCCGAACATGTTTTGCCTCCATTTTGTGGTTGTGGATTATTGCATTCACGTTTTCGACACAAACAATTGCCATCTTCATCTTCATAATTCTTGCACTTTTCCCAATTTGACCAAGCAGACCAAGCACCATCTATCGGAGTAGTCAATATAGGACAGTCTAGATATTTTTTCTGTATCCAATATCGGGCTGTATGAGGCTTTGGATCGTATGGTGTGCATTGTTCGATAAATTCATTCCAACCACAATAAGGATCCATAGCATTTAAACAACTTATACGAGATACATGACGATTGCAATGTTGTGATGGGATGCGCGTCAAAGCATTTTCTGTACCCACATATAAAGCATCTTTTACCTTAAGGTATTCCATATGTAATATATCTCTCGAATGACCATTTTTAGAACCTTCCAATTGCCATACTTCAACCTCACATGTTTGTGCAGTATGATGATCTTTGTTATGCTTAACTGACAGTTTTTTAATTAAATTTTGCTGCGTTGATAAGTAAAGTACATGCAACTTTTCTGTTTTGGTATGGACTGCATCTAATGCAATATGCTGAAAACGTTCAAGTTTACCATGGTATAAAGGTTGATCAGTCATTGGTTGCACTGCTAGGTCCATAAGTTGATAGCGGGATGATTCTAATAATTGTTTGTATCGTGTATTTGTTGCAGGTTCTTCGCAACGAAACTGATTACGATGTGGTACCTTAACCGACTTCCATGCAGTGTCAATATGTTCTTGATGTTTAAAATTTCCCTCAAATGCTGCATTTATTGCACTCATGTTATAGGCACAAACTGCTGAACCATATATGCTGTTACTATAATGAGTAGAAAATTGTTTTAATTTTATAACAAATTGAAAAGTTAATAGTACTTACTCTGGAGTGGTAAATGTAGCGTATAGTATGTCTTCATCAGCAGAATAAGCCATGCCTTGTATTTCATTGAAGTAAAATGGATATTCTCCAGGCAAGGAACAATTTAATCTCGCCTTGAGGAATGAAGTCCAATTATCTTTTAACATTTGATCACCTCCAGCATCATTCTTGCAAACGCGTGCTATTCGTGAGTAAACAACCTGAAAGAAGACATTAATATAAATAATATATAATGAATAATTTATTACATAAAGCAAATACTATAAGTGCCAAAAATTCATATAATATAAAAATATTGTGAAGATATTCAATTCATATTATTTAATTCATACCATGCAGGTGGGTTTCACAACCCCTGTGTAATATTTCGAAAGTAGAGAAAATTCTGTCCGGAGAAAAATCAATCAACCATTTTTGTTTGGACTATTTAACTGTTATTTAGGTATTGGATCATGGATTCAATTTTACATAACGACAATGACCATCCGCAAAACACAAAAATAATTTACAATTTTCAAGATATAGCAAAACTTCAAACTATAACATTTATGTGTATAGAAAAAGAGATTATTTACTTTCAGTTAAATCAATAGTATAAAATATTTATTATTTTGCAATTCTACCTTCTAATACGATTGAGCTTTTCTCCATACATTAAAATGTTCTCTGCATCATTTAGTAATGAAATTTTAACAGCTATTAAAAATGTTCTTATTACTAATAGTGCGATAATAAGAATAGATACCACCTATTATTATTATCGCACTATCTCTTTATATTGTATAAGTTTTTACATCGAAACATATTCCTATAGCACAAAAGTCAACATCGTTGTTGCTGTAAAATTGTTTTTGTGTATTCCATTCGCTTTAGTGTTGATATTTTCTTTTATTTTGTACTATTTACACCAACAGACATTAACTTAATTCAAATGTATATTTTATGTCATAAATTAAGAGAATAAAATAATAATGATATAATTTACAATGGCAACAAAAACAATATCACGAGCAGAATAATAGTTAGAAAATGACAATTTATTGTCGAAAATAACTAAAAAAACTCTATTTAAATATTTTTTATATTAAAACTTTCTTGCAATGAACCATATATTTATTTCATTGGTATAAGGTACCACCAATTCCTTCTTTCTAATCATAACGAGTTTAAAAAAAAAAATATCTTTATGAGACTTTAATTATGCAAATTTTCACCCAAAAATGGCTATGAACTATATTACCTTGCCACAATTGATGTATTCCACTGCCGGTTCACGAAACAGAAAATATACAAAATTTCCAGACTCAAAGCTGCCAACAAATTGTGGATTATTTAACCAATTATTATTGTATTGTTTAGTACGTAAGATTTTGCTATTGTACAATGGCTAAAATATATAAAAGATTATACTTTGTGTTATTATTTCTTGAAATGTATTGTTGTTATAAATTATTTATAATCAAAACCCTTACCTCATTGGGTTTAACGTCAGTACGCAAAATTGCTGCATCACTGCCAGAAAAATCAGTTGCAGTGCCTACAAACATTTTGCCATTGCTGGACATTAAAGTTGTTATATTCGAAGTGGGATTGAAGGGGCATTTTCCTATACCATTATCGATACCAGTGATTGTTAGATTTTCCATCTGAAATCAAAATAGAATGCAAATAAATTTAAATTGTAAATTAAATGCAAAAATGCAAAAATGCAAAACCAGCCAGAGCAAGTGTATTGCAGGCATAACAAATTTCATACAATTAAAACTGATGTGGTACAATAAAAGCACTCAACGTACCTGGCGCCATGAACAGTTCGGGCTGAAGGCATGCGTCCCACACACATACAATTGGTTCTCACCGTAGCTCTGCAGTACGCGCACGTAATTACGGCACAAATGCTCTGATTGGCCTTTAGCCTGACACATGGCAATCTGTTCTGGCGCTGCAAACCAATTTGAACGTTCCAATAATTCCAAATCGAAGGACAAACGATAGATTGTGTCTCTGTAAACATAAAAAAGAAATATACAATAACAAATAATTACGCAACTGAAATATACTACATCAGTCAAGCAATAAAATATCTTTTGTAGGCATAAGAAAAGCAACATGTTTCTAAATATGTTGCAGCAACAAAAAATATGCAAAAAATTTAAAAAATTCAAATTTGTTGTGCTTATAAGAAAAACAAACAATATGTGTACATAAATAACTAAATATTTTGTATATGAGAAACAAATGGATTAAATGCAGAAATATAGTGCAATTGTCATAAAATGGTTTGTACGGGCATTGAACTGCAAGGTAAACAAGTTAGAATACAGGTACGTGGCAGCAAAAAGCCGCCAACGTTTGTTTACAAAATAAATAAGCAAACAAAAAGAGCAAAATATTCAGCGACTGTCAAAGAGGCAACAAATAATCAAGTAATCAAATGATTTTTGTTATATTGCAATCAAAAAAATCTGGTATGAAATATTTGGTCATGTTAGGTTTCTTATAGCTAAAATCGTTATTTGTTATATTTGGAATTTGTGCGCGTGCGCGTAAGTCTGTTGGCGCGCGAGATTAAGGAAGGCGTTTGGGTTTTATTGATTGGCACGCGCATAATTGCAATACTTGCTGCTGTCAGTGGGTTGAAAAAAAACCTAACTAAAGTCTATGGCTACGTAATACGATACCAACATTTCATATCCATTATAAATTTAATTCCAAATCCGGTACGTGTCGCATATGTCATTTAGCAGCACATACACATACATGCGGTGTTACTGCTTTTGTCTACTTAAAGTTGCAAGACTGGAAGAATTTATAATAAGGGTCAGCCAATCAATGCATTCATCAATTCAATGATCTATCGCACTCTTGATCGGTGTGACGCCAGCTGTCTTGTATGTCTGTCTGTTTGTCGCTTTAATAATCTTGTCGCATAAAAGTGATCGATTTTAATTGACGTTTGTTTAATTTGTTGTTGCTCTTGTTAAATGTTTAGTGCGGCTACTTTGATTTTTGTTTAACAATTTCTGGTTTCAAAATATAATAAGAATCAATTTATTATTATTTCACAAAAACTACATTTATGAAAAAAATATTTTTTTTTTCGAATCGTAACAATTGCATGAAGTTTTGAACCAACTTACACCCATGACCCATTTTTTGTCAAATATCGTTTAACCGGTTAATAGAGTAAAAATGACAGAAATTATTTGTCAAGTGCGTCGTTGCCGGTTATACAAAGATTTAAATTATTTATTATTTTTTACGTCTATTTTATTTTTAAACTGTAAACTTTGCGAATTTCGTAATAATTTTATTGAAAGTAATTCTCCAAGTCACAAGCTTACTTTTATTTTCTTATTTGAAAATAATTTGCATCAGACTTTATCGCCCTGCCAGGCCATAGCTGCATTTGCTATTATTGCCGCCATTTTATACTGCAGCCACAGCAGCATAAAAGCCGCCAAGTGTGGGAGTTCGACTAGCGCCTTGGTGGCGGCAATATTTTTCGCCATATTTTTTCTACCATTAAACACTTTTAATAAATGTTTCCAAATGAAAATGTTGTTCTGAAAGAAGTGCGCGGCGCATGTTCGCAAGGCTTGGTACATGCATCAGTGCCAGTGTTTCAATCACAGGTTGAACAACGCAACAACGACAGATAACAGATAATTAAAAGTTAGTAGCAGCAGTTAACCGCAGCTACAAGCGGCTACAAGTTGCTGTATTTAGCCTAGGGTGCAACATGTATGTCTGCAACAACTTGGAAATTTGATAATTTTAATGCTGCGTGGTTTGTTGCATGGTGTGTTGAGTTCTGACATGATGTGGTGTGGTGTGGTGTGGTGTGGTTTAGTGAGGTGGCACATTTATGGTCCCACATTTGCGCGTGTAACAAATTTTGTTGCAATTTACGCCTGCGCAAATCTACAAAACTTGTGTCATTTTATATATTCATATTTTTATGCATTAGTTTCGTTTTTATATTTTCAAAGTTTTTTGTTTATAATTTTAACTTTTCTTTTTTTTTTGTCAAGTATTGCAGCTAAAGTGTTTATAGGTTGCCCCCACACAGCAAAATTTTATTGATTTTCGAATTAATTTTACTAAGCTCCTAATGTTTAAAACCTTAATTTTTATTGATTTTGGTATATCTAGTAGAGGAAGAAAAGAGGTAGGGTATTATTTAAAAAATATATGAGGTTAAAAATCTTACAAAATGTTATTTCACGGATAATAAAATAAATTGTTGTTGGCGTTGCTTTAAAAATAAATTATATAAATCAAAAATATTGACTAAAAGTAAGACATTAAAATATATAAACTAATAAAACCGATCTGGCTCAAAAGAGAAAAATAAGTTAATAGACTAGAACCTTTCTATTTTTAAGTCTTTAAAATAAATACAGTCCAACTTCCATAACTCAAACTTCTACAATTCGAATTTTCTATAACTCGAACTAACAGGGTTTTAGAGAACAAATTACATACAATTCTGATACCATAACTCGAACTTCTCTAACTCAAATTTCTATAACTCGAACTAAAAAGAACGCAACAGGGTTTTAGAGAACAAATTACATACAATTTTGCTTCCATAACTCGAACTTCTATAACTCGAATTTCTATAACTCGAATAAAAATATTGTCACATGCCAATAGGAATATGGGAAAGTGCATTCTATAAGTCGAATTTTTGTTTTAAGTATGGTATGAATCCATTTTGGTGTTAGGGGAAATTTCTTTTTCCAAACCAAATGTTTCAATTTTTTCTTTCTTACGTTGCTTCTTTGTGTAAATGTCAGTCGCTGACATTTATGCAAATATATAGTATTGACATTTCTTCGGCGAATATGACTTCTAAATTACAACCGCTTCATCAAGGAATAATTCAAATTTAAAAGTATAACTATCGCAACAGAATCGTAAAAGAAGTACTAAAGCATATAGAATCAAACAAAAAACAGGATATTGCACTTATGGATTGCATAAATCATGTAGCAAAAGTTTGAGATATTGATGTAAGTAGTCAAACGATAGCGTACTGTTTTAAAAAAGCAGGATTTGGCCAATTTTCTACATCGGACGAATAGGACGACATTCCTTTAATTTTCTTGAATAACATTGATAAAGAGCGTAAATTGATGTAAAAGTAAATTAAATAAAATAACTTCCAATGCTACATCTTAACGATTATATTGAGCTTGACAATGAAATTTGTCTTGTATTTGATTTCAAATAAATAAATTAATATCTTAAAATGTGATTCTAGTTTCTTTAAAAAATAAAATAAAAAGATTCTCTAACTCGAAGTATCCATAAGTCGTACTTTTTCTTTGTAGAATGGTAGTTCGAGTTATGGAAGTTTGACTGTATTACTAAATTCAATCCATTTAAAACTTCATAAACTTCACCTTAGTAGAATCTTGCGCATCTCAATTTGATCTGCGGGCTTATATAAACTAAGTTAGAGCTACAGACACAATACAGAAACGCAAATGAAGCTGAATAGAGGACACTCTGAGCAGACCAAATAACAGATAAAACTCTGTAGATTCTGAGGTAGAACCTGCAGCGTAGAATTCTAGGTGCCACAGTGGATTGATTAAGACTTGAAAGACAACAGTGGAACGCATATTAAAAGATGAGAATTATTACTGGGATTACACTCCCACGTATTTCCATAAAACAATTTCATTACTCGCTACACTGGAAAAACATCACAAAGTTTTATCAAATGATATTGGGTGCTGTTTGAAAAAAAATTGGGGAAATTACTAATATAATAATTTATTTATAAATAATATATAATTTTACTTGACTGTATTTGGAAATAATTGAATAAAGACTTAGGAACGGACAAATTTTCGCTCATTAGGATACGAGCTTTGACTAAAAATGCAATTGCTTAAGTAATTCGAAAATTTTATTAGAACTATTAAGCAAAACGACGTGGAGTTTTTGCACAGATTCTTAACTGTTGATTTGGTTCTTAATGATTTGGTCTGCAATTATTTCGTAGACCAAATATTAACAAGCAGTAAATTGTAAAAAGTAAAAGAGCTCTGATACAAGGAAGTCAGTCGGGAATGTCATAGCTACCAATTTTTTTATTTTGATATGACAAGAAAATATTGCTAAATGACTGCATCGCGAGCGGGGTCTATATAGAAAGTTTGGTTCAAAACATAAACATTTTTGTCCAACATAAATCTACGCAAGATGCGTCACAAAGTAAGAGTAAAATTGTGAAAATTGCATTGAATTAAAAAAAATTTGCCAAAAATTTATATCGAGAAATAATTTTGCCAAGTTTAGCACAACAAATGTTACATATATAAATACATTCATTATTATAAATATTGTATATGGTATTATATATATAACTTTTACTAAAATGCTTTGCTTTTTCAATACTCTTAACAAATGAAATGTGTGAAAAATTAATAATTCAAATATATCATGTAAATATTAAATTCACAGTTTAAATAATAAATATTATTTCAGATAAATATTAGGAAAATACAATATATTTAAAATTCCTGAAATTGAAATTTAAACAAATTTTTGTGAACATGTTATTTTTCTTAGAATTAAATGAAAAATAACGCAAATTTTTTAAATCTGTTTACTTTCTTAATATATTTTTTAAACAAAAACGAATAAATAATTTACAAATCTGTTGATATGGTTGTATCTTTGTATAGTACATATATTTGATATCCTAAAAACTTATACATAAATAAATTGACTAGATTTAATATTTTCCAAAGAAACTCGAATATTGGATTTCATCAATTTAAATTAAAAATCAAATTGATCAAATCTTATTTAATAAAATCAATTGATAAAGTCAACAGATGTTTTGTTTGAATGTGCCAATTTTTTCATGAATTTTATCAGATAATTTTTTTTTATTTTATTCGTTTTTTATTAAATTTTTTTTATTTGTTCAAGTTTCCTATACCATAATATATTTGTTTTTATTTTTTGCAAACAAACGTTGA